CACTTTTCCTTGCTGCCTTGCTCTATCATGTCGAAACACGAGTTGTCTGACGCACGACCGCCACTGCCGCCTGCTTCTTCCACCAATAGTTCTTGCGCTACCCCAACCGTCCCGCTCTGATGTACGATAAGGAGCTCAGTCTCGACGCTAACGGAAACGCAGAGGGTGAACCGCCAGAGTTTCCCGAAGGTTCTGCGCGCGGATGGCTGACTGTGATGGGAGGGTGAGATCACGAATTCAAATGTCTTTTCACGACTGATGAGATACCGTTCAGCGCTCTCGTGAGCATGTGTACGCTTCCATTCCCGCTGAATGTCCCCTTCGTCAATTGATTGTTCTTACCTCCGCAAGGCACCATCGGGAACGGTCAATCGTTCGGAGGTGAGAGTCATGTTCCCTAGTGCCTGGAAGTATGACGTTCTATTTCATGTTAGTGTACCAAGACTATTATACCGTACGAACTTCTATCAGCCGTCAAGATCCCCACTGATTTTAGCTGAACCGTTTCCAGCGAGTCTCTCTCGTAGAAATGTCGCCGTCTCAAATCAGCTGGATAGGCTCCATCCAGCTGGCTCTGATGTTCGGACTGGGAATCGTATCTGGAAAACTGTTCGATGCGGGTTATTTCCGATCTAGCATGCTCTTTGGTGGAGGTCTATTCATCACATCGTAAGTCCTATTGCTTTTACGTCGGTCCCGCTGAGAAACTTCTTGTAGATTGTTCATGCTTTCGCTGGTACAACCACATCACTACTATCAGAACTTGTTAGCGCAGGGATTCGGAATGGGACTCGGTACGCGGTTCTCCCGCTCTGAATACCGCTGAAGTCAACTTTTGAACTACTAGGTATGGGGATGATGCTTCTGCCATCGACGAGCGTCGTGTCGCATTACTTCCGAAGACGGCGCTCCTTAGCCATGGGCCTTGTGATTACAGGCAAGTGCGGCTTATCTACCCGCCCAGTCATTACCTCTGAACACTGGTCTAGGAGGAGGCCTAGGTTCTGTGATTTACCCTATCATCTTGAACAGGTTTTTCGCGGACAAGCGTCTCGGATTTGCATGGGGTACAAGGTTTGTTATTCTTGCCCTGTTTCCGTTGCCCACTCAAGTTACGGTGTTCATTTCTTCAGACTCCTTGCGTTGATCGATCTGGTCCTCCTAATTCTGGCAAACTTGATGATGAAGACGCGACGCAAGTACAATATCCTCTCACTGTATGATCAAACTCAATCTTAATGAAGTTCCTCCCCGAGCATCCTCCTTTGCTCGAAGTACGAGCGTCCTGCGTGATATGCCGTTTTGGTTATCTGCGGTTGGGTGAGTTTGATAGTCCATCGATTTATAACTCGTCTAAATGGTGCTCCATAAGAATGTTCTTCGTCTGGTGGGGCGTTTTCATCCCTTGTGGGTCATCGCTTCTTCGAATCTGCAATTTTGAGCTCACACATCGCCAAGACTTCTACCTCCAGCTGTTCTCGAAAATCAACGGAATTGACGCGTCCTTTTCGAGTTGGGCGGTTCGTCGTATTCGATAGACCTTCAGAGCCTCCCTAACTAACTAGCTTGTGGACATAGATCACCATTCTTAACGCCGCAGCAACAATTGGTCGCTTCCTGCCAAACTTTATAGCGGATAAGTATGGCACTTTGAACGGTTCGTCCTGTTCCACGTGGAATGCATTAGCGTCATCGCGATTTCAGTGTTTATACCTAGCGCATTCCTCAGTGGCGCACTTCTGTGGGCTCTCCTTAGCGTTCGCAACACTGCAGGCGTGGTCATCTTTGCGTCTTTCTACGGCTTCTTCTCTGGTGCCCTCTTCTCGCTCGTATTTCCTGCTGTCGCGACGTTCGGCACTGTGAATGATATTGGGTGCGCCTCTTCCTACAACCTTTGCAATCTCACTCAGCGAAGAGGTCAGGCTGCGGGTTGGGTTAACGGCGTTGTTCATGAGCGTGGCCGCGCTCACTGGAAGTCCTTTGGCCGGAGCGTTATTGGCCGCGCCTCATTTCGTCTGGTGGAGACCGCTTGTGTTTGGGTGTGCGTGCATCATGGTAGGCGCGGTGTGTAACTTGTTTGCTCGGCACGCGTTGGCGCGTCGCAAGGGAACGGCCTTTGTATGATCATCTATACCATGGCTTGTTCTATTCGTGTAAATAGTACTAAAGCGTGGAGCTCAATAGAATCGGACCGATTCACCCAATGGGGTTTTCCCACGTAACGTTTTGACAACCGACTAAGTACTACCATCCGAAGTTTTGGCAAACAGTCTTTTGGACTCGACACGTACAGGTACCACGCGCAGATGGTAATGCACCGTTGTATAACAACACCTCTTTTTGTTATCTGGAGAAGTAGTTTCTTCTGATCAAGAACTCAACTACAGCTAACGGCTCACAGTGACACTTGGACGTTGGATCTATGTGAAGCGCTGCCCAAATGGGCCGGTTGAGTTTGCAACATTGCACTTCCTACGTTCAGAGACTAAGATTCCGGTTCCCCGCCCTTTGTTCTGTTTTTGATATTGTAGAATGTACCTCGTTTTCATGTCTTGTGTTCAAGGCGTCGAGCTGGAAGATATTTGGCCTTCCGTATCAGCAGACAAAAAGTGTTACATAATCACTCAGCATCCAGCAATACCAAACTATCCCCCACTTCCATCTCATCAGTCCTAGGAGGTCCAATTGATCATTCCCGGGTCATCTTCAATGGCAAGATTGGACCTTTCAGATCGGAGGCCCATAACTACGGCAGAACGACAACGACACCCCGCTGTGGGTCATTGGAACTCACCGGAAGCGGCATAAATTAGTTTTCATGCACGAAGACTTGGCACCGCACAATATCCTTGTGCAGGACGGTAGGATTACGGTGTTATTGGACTGGGGCTCTGCGAGGTGGTATCCTGAGCATATGGAGTACTTATTGTTTTACAAAGAATTGGGGGGCTAGGAAGAGCTGGATTGAGTGGGTTGACAACCTCTTGGAGCTATATCCTGAAGAGACAGAGAAGTGCTGCAGCGGAATTGGAGTCCGAGTGATGTTGTGAATGATCCCAATGACAGTGATAGTCAGAGGAACTAGCTCAGTATTTCGACTATGACCGTTTTGGGAGGTTTTATTTGTGCTGCCCACAGTATACTACCAAATGGGATTTATTCTCGGAACCCAACTTTAGAGGGATGTGAAGACAGACAGGAATGTCTGAGTCGAGGTCATGACACAGGATTTCAAAGACAATGGCTTGATTTGTGCACCCAGGCTGGGCCATGTGATGGTTCTGCTAGCGAAGGTTTAACGTCAACCAAGCAATTCTGCCAGAGATAGAGACAAATTGATACTTATTATTGAGGACGTTGAAATGTGAAGCCGAAACACGGCCAGTTTCACGCGAAGCTTTGATGATCAACAATGGCCACAGCTAAGCTTCTCTTCATCATCGATCATGAACAGTAGGTTTTTCTTTCTCTCGACAAGGCTATGACCATTTGATTGACTATACGTAGCATTCTGGAAGCCTCTCCCGCAGAAGAAACGCGGTATCAGCGTGACCGAAGTTCAATTTGGGGAGGATGATGCAACGACCACATTTCACCTGGACTACGACCCGGAACTGGTCTGGTCTGGTCGTATCATCCACGTGAACTACGAGCGCAATACATCTGTCCCCGTGTGTCCAGAAAATGATGCACTTAATCGCCCCGGTGCTGCTGTTAGCGTGCGGGTTCTCAACGAGGTTAGTAGTGTTTCTTCATCATTTGACTAGGTTCTCACATGTCGACAAGATCATCCCTCTACTGCCCGATAGGAAAGAGGAACCTGGTTTTTGGTCTGTGCACTTTGAGAGTAGTACTGGTGAAGGGGGCATCACCGTTACAAAATCTGTCTTTCGCCCTTTCGGACATGCACCTGAGAGCTTCAGCGAATCCATCCAGCGTCTTCCTACTGTGAAATTGGAATCCATACGAAAGCGGTATTTCACTGTCTACGATAACATCTTTGCCATCGTTGTTCAAGGGCATTCCGAGTTACATGTACTCAAGCTGTCGCGTGGGCCATTTTTTGACCCGACATTCGTTGAAGACCTCACCCTCATGTTGAACCTTCCTCCGTCCCCACATGCGCTAAGACCAACGGCTGCAGTTCTGGATCGGAGGGGATTGCTTTGGGGATATCTCCTCCCATACCACTCGGCGTCATCTCTGAATGAAGTGTTCAGAGCGTCCAGCGCCCGCCGTCCTTGGTCTATCCGCCTAGGATGGGCACTGGACTGTGCGCTTGGGCTGGAATGGCTCCATGGGCTAGGACATGGCTGGGGCGACGTTAAACCTAACAATTTCATTCTATGCGACGATGGGCGATGCCGCCTTATCGACTACGCGCAAGCTACCTGTACCCCCGCATTTGCAGCACCCGAGTTCCAAGGACTTCCACCCTCAGAGAATGCCCCAGAAATGACATTTGCCGGTGATGTGTTCTCGCTGGGAATTGTCTTATGGTACATAGCAGAGGAGGTACAGGATTTCGAAAGGGATGCTCTCGTCCCAGAACTCCATTGGAGCGCACAGGTGCCGGATTGGTATAAAGACTTGGTCAGGCGTTGTCTTGTGGTGGATCCGGACCATCGTCCTTCAGCGACTAGTCTCCGCAGCGAGCTGCAGTTTTATGCAGAGCCTCACTAATTTCCCTGCCATCCTGACAGATCAGATCCCGGGGAACATAGACCAGTGACTGGAACAGCGAGAGGTGTATCAAACACTCAAAGAACAGTGGTTAAGTGTTGCTGTGGTGTATGTACTACTTATCTGTTTCTCATCCTTCGCCACTTGACATTGCCTGTAGCGTTTCTTTATCTCCTTACATGTGATATCACTTGTGAAGATCTTGTAGTCTTCATATTCTCCTCCGACGATTAAACCACTTGTCGTGCTCGGGGTGGTGTAGTGGAACGGCTGCGCACCCTCATGGTGAAGGACAAAAAGTTATTTACACTCTGTTACGACACCAACAGGGTTCGAACCTGTGCTCTCAAAGAGAAATAGATAATGAAGATTCAAATCTATCGCCGTAACCACTTGGCTATAGTGCCTTGAGCCTAAATCAGCGCCACACATTTGGAGGGCACATGTCTTGAATGGGCAACACGCTAGGCCGATTGTCGAGATCGGACCCGGATCGCCTTGCAACTTTGCGACTGGTATCGTTTTCAAAGTCCATGCCGTGTGTCTCTCGCTGCTTTCAATAATCCACTCTATGTCCCGTGTACTCGGGGACCTCGTTTACACCCGAACTAACGGCTCTGTCTAATTTTCCTTTCCCCGGTGTTGGTCGGGTGATTGTTGCGTCGCAAATATCGCTGCCTCCTGTCATGGATGCAGGTGTTCAATGCGTGGCACGGGCGACTCGGACGCTCAAGACTCAAAGGGAGTATTTCTAGGCCCTGCGTGAGTCTCGTGCAGCTGCAGTGATTGCGGGGATCTTTCATCTTTAACGACGTCGGAGCCACGCTTATCGGAGGCGAAATGGGGTGCGTCGCTAGCTGTTGCCACCCCAATGTAGCTTTGAGTGTGTTTGACAGTTGCGGTGACCGCCTCTGGGGCAAGTGAATCGTACGAGAATTCGGCGACACTGGCCAAGGAGCCAAGATCTGGTTCCGCGGATGATAGAATGGAAGGTGGGACCCTCATGGACCTACAACGCTAGACTGCGCGCGATCCGCTTCCCTGATGGTCTGACTCCCGGCGGATCTATCGGTTCGTTGGCGGCTAGTGTGGCGATTGGATTGCTCGATGGAGAATCAATGATTAGTACTATCTCCTTTGATTTGGTGTAGTACTTGTATTTACGATGCCGAGGCGTGAATATTGTCACGAATAGCAGTTATTAACGCGTCAGATGTATTTGGTGGCGCTGAATGAATGTCGTCCGATGACTGTATTAGGAGCATCGGAGGGTGAAAGGGTGTGAAGAGTTTAAATTGATTCAAAGTCCCACGATCGTCTGGTCTGGACGTAACCACCACCACTACCACATGTATTGTGATGGGCCCACCTCCGACGTCGCCAAGGTCTATGCTTCCAACTACGCCGCAGAGGCCCAAGCGCCAGCATACCGTAGAGAGCATCATCACGTCCGACGCTGCTTATGGGTCCTCGGTCAACTTGCTCAAAATGCTTCGCTCCTCGCCGACATCGACGACGCCTACAGCCCAGAAAATAAAACGCCAGCATACCGTCGACGAGCTGCCGTCGTTTAAGCGCAGTATCAGCACCCCCAACTTGGCACTTCAGGTTTCGGAGACACCAAGGACGCCGACGTCGCCAACGATGCCGCCTACACCGCGAAGTAACCGACAGCACGTCATGTACGACGATGCCACGTCGGAGCGCGGTCTAGCGTCGGCCATCCGCAATTCGCAGATACATGTACCTCCGCCGCTGCCCGCAAAAAGCAAGCGCCAGCACGCTATTGAAGAGGTCCTGACATCCGAGCGATGTTATGCATCCGACATGGCCCTCGTCCGCGACATCCATATCCCTTTGGCTCTCGGTGCGCGACTTGGCCTTGACTATTTCTTTCACTCACTAGTTTTTTTGCAGGCGAACAAGTCAAGATGGGCGGATCCACGTCGGAGGTCGTTATGCCAGATGGAACGGTGCCAATGAGCAGAGAGGACGCCAGGATAGTGTTTGGAAATATCGGCGAGCTCGCCGAATTCACGGACAACTTTTGCGACTGCCTCGAGGATGCCATCGAGGTGGACTGCGTCGGTCGCCTCTTCCAGGAGGCCATACCGGAAATGGAACGGCCCTACAAGTACTATATATCCCGCCATGACACGGCTTCACAGCACCTGCAGTCACTTCCCTCCACTCCCGCCCTAAAGGCATACCACGAGCTGGCGCGCAAAATCGCGTCCGACGTCTCTCATGCCTGGGATCTACACTCCATGCTTATCAAGCCCGTTCAACGACTACTCAAATACCCTCTCCTGCTCTCTGCCATCCTCGATGCGACCCCAGACGACCACCCAGATAAAGACAACCTGCGACAGGCGCGGAACGCCATGCAGCAAGTCGCACAGCGCGTCAATGAGGAACGCCGTCGTACTGAAGTCGTCAAGGATGTCCTTAAACGGCCGAACAAGGAATTCCTTGTTCGTATCAAGAGCATCCGTAAACGGGCGCCACCTCCAGATTCAGATGAATCTCTCCAGGTCGATCGCCTCCACAAGCGGCTGTTGCAAACACAGTCTTTTACTAATCAACTCACTCAGAACGTTATGGAATGGTCCCATTGCGCCGCTACTTGCACCTCCCAGCTTCATCGTTTTGCACTCTCCTTTTCCAGGGTCATCGGCCTTGACATCGCTCCTTCCGAATCCTTCAATGCTTTTCTAGATCTCATCAACGGCCAGCTCGTTCCCACCAATGCCGAACTCTCATCGGAACTTACACTGAGCTTGCTCAGTCCTCTCTCTCATTTATTAAACACGTTCATAAACCCCCTCCGACTCATTGACATGCTCAACAACACCCTCCTTCCCATGCATTCACACCTCATACACATGCCCTTGTCCCAAAAGAATCGACCCCCATCTGATCTTCTTAAAGCTTCCGCCGAGTACCTGGCCCTTCGAGCAAAACTTGCCGAAGAACTGCCGACGTACATACACATGGCCGAAACCGTCCTTACCGCTTGTATCCTCCGTCTAGCGCGTGTCCAAGCATCGTACTTTTATAGGTTGCGGCAGCACTGGATGGATCTCTGGCAGGCACTGGTTCTCGAGGGAGAAGACTTTATCGCCGGTGACACGACACAGGTGTGGTGGGAGCGCTGGGAGCAGGTGGACAAGGCGCTTGAGCGGTTCACAATAACCGCCCAGATGCCGAAGCGCGCGCCGCCTACCCGCCGCTCATCGTCCAATTCAATGCCGCACGTGAGCAGCCCGCTTCCGCTGTCGTCGAGCGCGAGCATGCGGTCGCGGACGACCAAGTCGAGCGTCGATCACGAGTACGAGTTTGATATGAACTCGATTGGCTACGATTATGCGACGAAGCGAAGCGAGATGGAGCGCGCGGAGAGTCCGCTGATGGAGATGGCCACGCCGCCCCCAACGTACTTTGCTGTTCCCCCCGTGTTGCCGATAACGCCCGCCGCATCGCTGAAGATCCGGACGCGACCTGGCACGCCGACGCCGTCGATCAAGAGCAAGTCAAGCAGCATCATGAAGAAGGAGAAGCTGCGGCCGCTGTATGTGGTGTATGGGATCCAGCCGTTTGAGCCGCCAGTTCCGACGTACATATATGATGCGTACGCGTTCCTAGAGCTGGCGGGGAACGGCGAGTTCTATGAAGTCCTGAAGGAGTGTGGGCACCCCCGGACGCACGAGCCGAGGGGGCTCCGGCTGGTTCTGGCAGACGACGATCCGGACGCGGCGGATACGTTGTTGTTGGTGCGAAGAGGCGTTGGTGGAGGACACAAGGCGGAGACGGGCTGGGCGCTGGCGAGCTATCTGCAGACAATGGTGGTGTAGGAGGACGAGCTGGATATTTACTACTATCAGGAATTTGGGAGGATTATTTGCTGTCCGTGTGCGTGTTTGCGTTGCTTAGATATACCGTTGTTGTAACTGTACATTATTTATGCTGTAGCACACTTTTGTATCGAGAGACTCTTTTCTACGCTGACCCTGACTACAGAGTTCATCCTTCACCTCGCTTCTTCACGGCCAGGTACAAAAGTATCCATATTCTTCCACTGGCCGGATTTGCCTTTTTGCGGTGACATTTTCCAGACATTGACATTGAACGATACGTGCGAAAGTCGGAAGCGCTAGTAGTAGTAGCATGGGATGTAGTGGAAGACAGGCATATGTGGCCGAGTGGTTCATATGGCCAGTGTGGCGTATGATCTATGGTTCTAACGGGCGCTTTCCTCGAGGTCTCTTCTATGTTCACTCTTTCCGACGTCCCGGTGTCTTCTCCGTCACCCCAAATTCTGGGTTGTTTGGTTTCGCGGAGGATGTACCAGTGCTCGATGCTCAGCATCTTAATACTGCTTGCTATGCACGTCCTCTAAAAACGAACTGCACCTTTTCCTCCTCGGCTCATTGCAGCGGGTAAGATGTCCGGAGATTTGGGTGTGTGGTCGAGTGTCATCAGTACTCTTAAGGGGTGAAGTGTAACGGCCATGCCGCACGACGTGGGGAAAAAAAGGATAAATGGCCAAATTTAAGAAGAAGCAGATGGCTGGCAGTCAACTTTGAAGCTTTGAAGTCCTACTACTGTCTTCCTCTACCGCGCAATTTAAAAAGACTGGGGATAGTGCGCGGAAGCCACTTGACTATGACCCCTAGCTCTGACGAAGGGACCTAATTAAATATAAACTAGGAAGCCTGCTGAGTACCTTGGAATGTTGCAGAGGAGTAGCCGAGTGCCATGAGCTTGGATACAGAATCATTTCGGACTGTCAGCAGCTGGGTTTTCCTAATCGTTCTCGCTGGCTCTTCCCTCCATTCTCTTGATTGTTTTCATGCAGTAACGAACAAGGAATCTTTTGCACACGGGAGACTCGTCGTCAGAGAGGCATGAATTTCAGCTCGCCCTTCGGACTGGAGAGGCGCCGACTGCCGTCGGCGGAACCCTTGCTAGTTGAGTGGAGATCAGAGTGTATTCTACAGGTAAACAAATACGAGATATCTAATGACGATTTTCAATATGTATGTCGCCCTTTCGCGGAGTTCAGGTCGAAGAACAATTCGGCTGCTGAGGGATGTCGATGTGGAGGTTTTGAAGAGTGGGCACGAGCCAGAGTTGATGCAGGAGGATGACAGACTAGAGGCGCTGAATGAGGGGACAAAGAACGATTGGAAGAAAATTACAGACCAGCAGACAGCTATAAGATAGGAAAGAGATAAGTGATCGATTGGAATGGCAAATGCGTGAAAGTGAGGTCATACATCATACACAGGCAAAATGCAGAATTTGCCAGAGTAGTGCGTCATCGGAGGTGCAAGGAAATGTCAACGCCGTGAAAAGAACGACGGGCGGCCAGGAAGTGACAGCAAAATCACTGGACTACGGTCGC